CGCACACTAAGAGAGTTACAACCTAAGTATATTGTTATGTATGATGCAAATATGACAGCAGTTAGACAAATTGAAGTGATATTTATTATTTTTAATATAATTTTAATATCTGGAATACATAAATATTATTTTWTAGGTATTTCAAAACTCTGATGCAAAATCAAAGTTGGTTGTTTATTTTTTAATATTTGGAGGTTCCACTGAAGAACAAGCTTATTTAACTACTCTTAGGAGAGAAAAATTACTTTTTGATTTTCTAATTAAAGAAAAAGCGGTACATATAATTACTAAATAATATTTCATTGTCATTATTATTTTACATTGACATATCCATATTAATGTTGTATTAAATTTAGGTTATGGTTATACCAAAAGGTCAAGATGGTAAAGATGAAGATTGTCCTGAATTAACTCGTGATTTGGGTGTACACCCTTCAGAAATGCTGGATGATGACGATAATTCATATAAACCAGAAGAAAAGATTAAAAAAGAAATTCCTAAAGTTATTGTTGATATGCGAGAATTTAGGTCAGATTTGCCTGTGTTACTTCATCGCCGTGGCATTGACATAGAACCAGTCACTTTACAAGTTAATTACATACTTAAAATATTTTATTTTTATTTTTTTGTATTATTTTAAATATTTTATTTAGGTTGGTGATTACATTTTGACTCCAGAAATGTGTGTAGAACGAAAAAGTATTGATGATTTAATTGGTTCTTTAAAATCTGGTAGATTATATCATCAAGCTTTAATGATGTGTCGTCATTATACAAAACCAATATTACTTATCGAGTTTGATCAAAATAAACCATTTGACTTACAGGTAATTTTCTTGCTTTATCAAGTACTCTAATCATTACTATTTTCATTTTAAACTTTAAGATATATTTTATTATTAATCCAAAATATTATTTAATATGCTTGTGTAATATATATAAAGTGTAACGGACTATTTAACAAATTTACATTAAAAACATTACTATATATTTGTCAAATAGTACTGTTATACCCTGTATATACAGTGTGATTACAATTTAAATTAACACTAAATATCGCAGGTGGATGCCCTTGTATTGAAATGGGGTTTTTGGGAGATGATATTATTGAGTACCTAAATACATATTTTCAGATAAATAAAAAWTTTTTAACACTTTTGGTGTGCGCATGTGCAACATGTTATATGTTTTTTTTATTGAAAACACTATTTTGTTTGATTGTTTCTTCATATTTGGATAGATTACTTTTTTTAAACATTTTTCGTTCCAAAAGTTTTTTTCTATTTACAAAACTAACCAAGTTAGAGTAAGTCAAAATTAGGATCTATACATAATTCCTATTTAATGAAATTTTCATTTATAACCACCGGAAATAATAAAATAAGTGTGAAATAATTAAACATTATTTTTAGAGTATGATATTTTGCCAATTGTATTAATTAAATGTGTAATAAAATATTTATACTGATAATAGTAATATATTAATATTATAATAAAAAATAAAATGTATAACTAAATTAAACTATATTAAGACTTTTTAATATGCCAGAATTATGCCTGGATATTAGAATATTGTGGTTTATACAGATTCATCTGTCAGTCTTCAGGATTTAAAATCAAAATACAGGTAGTATGTGATATTTTAAGTGAGGACTAAAGCAAGGCAGAACTTTRACTGAATTTTTGATGGGACTTGAACCATGTTTAGAACATAATGGTGAACACTTTGAACAATTTATAAGATAAATTTAGTTAATAAATTTTATTTTTTACCATAATATTAATATATTACTATTATTAGTATAAATATATTGTTTTAAATTTTATTAATACAATTGACAAAATATCATACTTTAAAAATAATGTTTAATTATTTCACACTTATTTTGTTATTTCAGGTGGTTATAAATGAAAATTTCATTAAACAGGAATTATTCATAGATCCAAATTTTGGCTTACTCTAACGTGGTCAGTTTTGTAAATAGAAAAATACTTTTGGTACGAAAAATATAAAAAAAGTAATCTATCCGAATACTTAAAAAAATATAGTGTTTTCATTAAAAAAATGTAAGTTGTATTCGCATGTGC